AAGAGGCTCCATTCGGGGTGAGGAGGATGCAGAAGACGTGGGCCTGGTCACCAGAGGCTCTGGCAGGAACAACAAACATCAGCATCATATTTCTGTCCAAGCCCCCAACCAGGCATGACCGGACACATCGGCAGCAGATGTAGTGCTACAGAGGCTGATCTCTAAAGAGCCAGTGAAGGCCGGCGAGAAGCTGAGGCCAGCCTGTAGACCAAACACAATGCCCCAACACCATAATGGTACCTAAGCTCCCCCTGTACCCCAGTACCATTGGAAGATGGAAGGAAAGTCTATGAACTTCGAATTATATGACTCTAAATCCTGAACTGAACATAATTGACCGAGAGACTAAATTTTAAACTGAATTTAACTAAATTACCTTTAATCCACAAAATCAAGATTATTTTTCCCACCATCTGAAGAAATGGTGAGTGGGGATAGATGGGGTCCTAAGTGAATTGAATTCAGTCATGGAGATATAAAAAATTTACATTTCTTCACACTTGAGTAGGATATAAATTCAAAATCTATGATCCCAGGTAGAGTTATGATTATGGTGTGAAAGTTATTAAAAGGTTATAAATAAGCATCTGACCATTTCTGACATCTAAGCAAAGTGTAATGATTCAGTAATTCCTTTATTCAGGGCACAAACATTGACTGAGCCTCCCATGAACAGATGCCATGCTTCATTTGGGTGGCCTGATTTTAACTGGTAAAGTGGAAGTGCAGACTGTCTGGGGCTCTCTGAGCACAGGCGAGGACGCCCAGCAAAGGTGAGTGAAGCAAGACAGCTGCTCATGTTTGGGCTCTGAGTAAGAAGGCTCTTGTGGGGCGTGCATTAGGCTGAGGAATTCTCAGCAGCTTGAGGCAAGTTTGGGGGGAGATTGTGGAAAATATTTCTGCCTTAGTACCTAGTCTACTCCAAGAGGAAGGAAGAAGTAGAATGTTTCTCAGTACTTACCTGTCACTGGGGAATTCGTAAGGAATCCTTAGGAGGAACTGATAGGAGAGGGAGATGAAAAGATAATAATGATCACAAATACTTACAATAGCTATTATTGGCTATGAATTTCTACTCTGTGGGAAACATGAAAATAATAGTTATTTATTATCTTCAATGCTCACAACAATTTTGCATGGTAGGTATTTTTATCCTTACTCTTGCGTATGAGGAAACAGAGACTCAGGAAGATGAAGGCACTTTCCCAGGGTCACGCAGCAGGAATGGTCAGGGGTTTAAACCCAGGCCAGTGAGTCTAATGCCAAAGCAGGGCTCTTTTTACTGTGCTGTGCAGCCCCAGCACACGTGCCCACTGCACGGAACCGAGAAAAATGTCTTTGGCCATTTACCCAAATTCTCTCACTCTGAAAGCGAGGAGAGGTTGTTAGAGACAAGGAGTAGGGTTTTACCCCCTGTCCCTAGACACCCCACCTCCCATTCCTTCTGAAAAGGCAGTGGCTGAAGGTCCCTATGCTTCACCTCTGGGTTCCTAACTCACAAAATCTGGGTGCATAAGTAGGAGGATTAGGATCTTCAACAGATAATTTCATGGTAACAGCTAAAGACTCCTGATTCCTAAAAGATGTAGTCAGTCTTCCTAGTATAAACACAGTGAACTTTCTGGGATTCATCAGCAATTACATATGCATTTGGGACTTTTCCATTACATTCTTTGAGCTACTCCCACTCAACCTCATAACAAGTGATGTCAGCCCTGGGGAGCCACGAGGGAGCATAGGCATTTCGTGTGTCTTAAATCTGTGTCCAGAATACAATGGTGTAACTAAGTCATATTACAGTATTTTCAAATATTCAACTCATTATTTTCTTTGGATCACTGGAGTGCAGCACTAAAAAAAATCCAAATTTCAGTTTTTGGTTTATTTCCCAGAATAGAATTCATTATGTCCATAGCTTTATGAGTCCCTTTAGGAAGATAAAGGCAGATCTCATCCTACCCACCACAAAGGAAAACAATCATTGAAGCTATCCTGTGGCTTGCATCTCTTATATCTAACTTCCTCCTTTTGTCCGAATTTCTAAGTGTTCCATGGGGTGAAAAGAAAGGAGAGAATGACAGTGCAGCTCAAGAAACTTTATGTCACTAGCCAACTCAGTGTAAGAGGGTCTAATGCTTGGAAATTGATCTTCCAAATATGTTGAGCTTTTCATATACAACAAAAATGGAAAGAATGTGGTATGTATTGACATGTCTCATGAATTAAATTTAAAACTGTGCTGTCACAGGCTCTTGAAATAATTTATAACTCAGCCAACAATTAAGAGTCCAATGATATGGATTTATAATAAGATAATGTCATCTCTTCTGTTGCCCACTCAGGTTCTGTAGACCCTCAAAAGTGATCTTGCAAAAAGAAGGGAATAAGTCCAAAAAGGCAGGATCAAGGCTGGGCATGATTTCACAGCAGGACAAGTCACAATGTTTTAGGGGGTGAGCACCACTGGGCTTGATCTGAGTTGGATCTGGCAGATGAGGTTTGCCAGAAGGAATTTCTGGAGTAGACCAAGGCAAACTTAGCTTGATGGGACAAGACTCTAGCCAAGTGTTGGGGTAGAGCATAGGGGTGGGTACAAGGCACAGATTCCAGTCCCCTAGAGAAGAGAATGAAAAGAGCTAGGCAGGGCTTGGGGCAGGGTTCTAGTACTAGTAGGACAAAATATTTTAAGAAACAAAACAAAGCAAAAGCCAATTTATAAGCAGTGTATACCACGAGGCTGAAGGGGAAAGTCTGCATTAGCTTGAGAATGCCTGGAGGCCACCCTAGGCACCAGACAGTGCCACAGCTGGGAAAGGGGCATTTAATAGGTTTATGAGGTTTGTTCATGGATGGGTAAGCAAGGAGGTTCCCTCATTCCACAACTCCAAGGGGCATGTGAAGGGCACTCCTTGGCACTACCCAGGGGACAGGACTCAAAGGGAATGCAATGTGAATGGTGTCCACTGGAGTTGTCCCATGCAATGGCCCTGAGTGGGAGATATTTCATCTGCACATTTAAGTCTTTAGAAACTTTAGCCTGGTGCAGATAGAGCAGAGGGTACTGACTGCAAATTTCTATTTATTTGTGCACATTTAAGACTGATTTAGAAATAATTCTAAAATATCTTGCTCCAAGTTGAGCATAGCATATTGCCGAATGTGACAAGCCAGGGAAGCAGTTCAGTTGAAGCAAAATTTACTTCTCAGAGGTAAGGATCAGAGATTCTTGGATACCAAAGTGCTTTGATTCTGATCCTGAGATTTATTTGTACAGGTTTCTCACATGAGCCTGGAAATTTTTACACAAGGGAGATCAATAACCCGCTAAGCAGGGAAGCCAAGCAGGCCTGAAAAATTTGAACCCACAGCGTTTCCTTGCCAGAGACTGCAATGTCTGGCTAACGGGGCACATTTATTTCCCTCCGTTGCTGCATCTTCAGGGCATGCCTGTCCCTAACTCCTCACAAAGATAAACTACTTTTTTATTCTTGTGTCCAAATTTTATTCTGGTGTCCAAACTCACCTTCCACTCAGACCAGAATGATAAACTACAATCTAAAGAGTTGTAAAGGCTTGCCCAGAGAATAATTCTCACTCAGATTTTCTTCTGGCATCTTGTTTGGCCCAGCGTCTGAGGCTATGATTGATTAAGGTCAGTCACGATGGCACAAAGCTTGAGCTGTGATCATTCACCGTTCCTTCATCTAGGAAAATAAATCAAGAGGAACAGCACCAAGTGGTGGGGAAGTGAGAGATCCCAGAGCTATTTCTGTGGCAGGCTGTGAGGACAAGTCAGAGTCTCCCACAGAGCTTGAGTCTCTCAACTTTGTTTTCATGATCAGGTTAGCTAATTTTCAAAATTGCACTGTGACACTCACAAGGGGGAAGCTCGTGTTACTTGGCTCACTAAATATGCTGACAGTGAAAGGGTTAGAAAGGCGCTTCCCCTCTTTTTTCCTTAGTGAATTGAAAGGCACTTTGAAAATATATTTAGTGGCTTTGAACATTTCTGGGCCCAGTGCTGGTAGCATTTACAGAAGCCACATGGTGACATAGAAGCCTCACTCTCAAAAGCAAGCTCAAATGAGTGACAATAATGATCTAAATATTCTCCCCTAAGTTGGGTGACAAGGCAGGCTGAGATGACACTGGATTCCAGTTACCAGAAACCTAAAACACCCTGTTGAGGCCCTCCTCTCCCTGTGTACCCCTTCCAATCCATCACCAAGCTCTATCGAGGTTACCTCCTATATATCTCTTGAATCCATCTATTATTTTCATCTCCACCACTAATACCTGGCCTTCAGCTCTCGCTGGGACACACACACACACACACATTCACCCACCACCCCCAACCCATGGTATCCTTCCTTCCATTCCTGTGCTGTCACAGCCCATTCCCCACATGGTAGCCAGAAAGATCTTTTTACAACATCGATCAAGTTATGCCACTCTCCTGAATCAAATCTCTTTATTGGCCTCCTTTTGCACTGCAAATAAAATCCAAACTCCTTACCATGGCTTTCAAGGTCCTAAATCATCTGACTTCGGCATCTCTCTGCATTTTCATTTCCTACAACTTCCCCATCGTTCATGGTGCTCCAAACACACTGACCTTCATCCTGTTCCTCCTTCTTTGCACTTTTCTCTCTTTCTAGAATGTGCTTAGTTCTGATCTTGGCTCCTTTGTACCATTCAGGTAATCAGACTAAACAGTCACTCCATAGAGAGTTCTTCCTAACCACTAGTAGATTTTCACACCTTGCCAAATCTGTTACACTTTGTAGACTACTTAATCATTTACCCATTTATTGCTAACCTCCAACAGACTATAGGATCCATGAGAACAAGTATGTCACTCTTGTGCCTAGTAGTAACTGGCGTGTAGTAGGCACGCAATATTTATTAAATGGAATGAAGTGAATGAAGGAAGGAAGGAGATTCTGGCTCTAACCCCCAACTTCAAGTTGCTGAGTCATTGTTCTAGCTATTGAGCTAACCTGCTGCCCGATATTACGTTATCTCGCTTTCCTCTGGTTAAAGGCACTGCAAGAGACAGTTTGATATTTCACTTACCTCTTATCTACTCTGCTTTGACTGGGTTCTGCTTATTGCAGTAGGCTAAGCCTGTGTCTGGGTCCCTGACAATGAGTACCAATGATCCTCATCCAGGTTCACTAGCTAACAGTGGAAAAAGATGGTGCGATAGATTAAAGATTGTTAAGAATTCATTGACCCTCCTCCTCGGTATATGTTCAGGAGTACGTGTCCACTGCCCTTGAATCTGGGTGTGTTCTGTGACTGCTTTGGCTGATTGATAGAATACTTTGAGAGTGATACTGTGCTGGTATGTGGGTCCAGGCCTTAAGAGACTGGTAGCTTCTACTTCCTGCCTCTGTGAACACATTCTCTTAGAGTGCTGAGCCACTATGTAACAAGTTCAACTACCCTGTGGAGAAACCATGTAGAGAAGCCCTGAAACTACAGGAAAAGGGGAGCTGAGCCCAGACATCAGTCAACACAAATAAGGCACCAGACATGTGATTGACTCCTTCTTGGACCCTCCAAATCTAAATAGCCACCAGCCGAATACAACTGAGTGACCCTAATCAATGCCCCTTGGGGCAGAAGAGTTGCATAACTGAGCCCTGCCCAAATTCCTAACCCTCAGATTTTGAGCTTAATGAAATGACTATTGTTTTAAGGCATTACGTTTTGGGCAGTTTGTTAAGTGACAATAGATGACAGGACAAGCAGGTAGATCTATTTTTGTCTTTCAAAGAAGGCACGACCCTCTACTCCTTAGAAAAAGATGGCTGTAATCACTCAGCGATATGATATACAAATAAACCATAATCAGTACTTGGGAGTGAGGGTGATGAATGGTGGCTTCTCAGGTTCAGAAGCAGATTTCCGCCTATTTTCTAGGACAGCCCATCTAAAACACAGTAATATCAGGAATACCTCATCAGAACAACCCATAAATGAAAAATACTATCATAATATCCAGTTTAACTCCAATCCAATTTTCCTCCAGGCCTATCTGATGCATTTACCCAGATAGTGTGTGATGTAGTAATTATAGGTGCACTTTATCAGATGCTGACACAGGATCTGATCATAATTTCTAGGTTTATTTGAGGATGTACAGCATTCTCAGAAATGAATCCCAAAGAACCTTCCAGCATCCTCTAACAACCCATCTACAAACCCCACTAACAGCAGATAAGAGAAAATATCCAGCAATTTTTTCCTGCAGAGTCCAGACTTTCTTGAGATTGTCTTAATCTGACAGGCACTAGAATATAGTTTCTGTCTATTTTACTTTTATTTTTTTCGGACTGTCTCTTTGATCAGGTCTTTATTCAAAGTGAGCTGTCCAAAATGATTTGACCTTTACAGAATAAACAACGTTTATGCAGCAGGCTTCTTTTCTTCTGTGGTGGGTTTCTTTTCTGCAGGCTTCTCAGCTGCTGGTTTCTTGGTAACTGCAGGCTTTTTTCCCACCAAAGGCTTCTTTTGCTTCTTAACACCAACAGCCTTCTTTCCTTTCTTCCCCAGCACAGGCTTCTTGCCTGGTACCCCCTTCTCATCTGATTTGGCTTCTAGTGCTGCTGCTGCTGCCTTACCCACCCGGAGTTTCTGATTCTTGGCCTGGCGAAGAATGGTGTTCCAGCGCATGGTCTTTGCATATGGGTTTAGCTTCAACATGATTCTCAGGTTTTGCAGTGGATTCTTCTTCAGGACTCTGAGATGAATCTTCTTGCGTGGTACTCGGAGGGCTCTTTGGATCTCTGGGCTTTTCAAGATTCTACTAAGGTCTGTATTGAGCATCTTGTGCATGGGAAGGTTGTAGTTACTCTTGAGGGAGGCAGCTTTACACCAAGTGCCATACAGATCATCTAACTTGCGGAAAGCACTTTCAATCCAAATGCAAAAACATCCCACGTGCCCACCAGGAGCAAGTTTCAAAATGTTCAGTTTCAGAAATGAAAGAGGAGAAATTACAACAGACACGTCAGAGATACAAAAGATTATAAGACAATACTATGAAAAGCTATATGCCAACCAATTCGACAATCTGGAAGAAATGGATAAATTCTTAGAATCATACAACCTTCCAAAACTGGATCA